TGCAACCCTTTGGCTGTGTCCAGCCAGCCAATTCCTAATCCATCAAACTATTTAGCCTAGAGGAATGAAGGCCGAGAGGGAATCTTATCAATGCTTTTAAATAGCTAAAGGGAGGGTGGGGTTAGTCTCTTTTTAGTGGTGCCTAGTGACAGGACAAGGGGCGATGGTTACAAACTGGAACACAAGAAGCTCAATCTCAACATGAGGAAAAATTTATTTGAGCGTGTGGCAGAGCACTGGAACAAGCTGCCCAGAGTGGTGGAGTCTCCTCTGGAGACGTTCAAAACCCACCTGGATGTTGTCTTCTGCAAACTACTCCAGAGGTCCCTTCCAACCCCTACGATACTGTGATTCTGTAATGGTAATAGAAGGATATTGCAATTGAATTATCTTCAGTGTTAAAGGGGAGGCCCTTGTTTTTGAAGGGAGTGGCTGTTTTGTTAGTCTTCAGAAAGCAAGCAGTTTAGAGAAGGATCAGCTAACAATTGTAAATCAAATATGAGAGGCAAGGTTACGACTTTTGTCCAAATTTTAATAGTTTTCTTAGATTTACTAAATATGTATGTATCAAAAAGGAGGAAAAAAAAAAAACGAGATTGATGCTTTAGCGATTGCAATTGCTTCATTGGATAGTATAAATTATAACAGTAAAGCTGCTATTTATTAATCTATTCTAGTGTTTCCAGTCATTAGAAATGTTTGCATGGTCTGAAGTAACTCAGTCTATTGTGTTGGGGTGGGAAATGTTACCTTAACTGTGCATAGCATTTATGCTGATTAGTCAAGTTGCATGGAGTGCTGCTGTTAGCATTGTGTATGAACTGTGTAATAAAAGCAATAATTTTGTGTGTAGTTCATGAAGCAGATCAGTCACAATTGTAGTTTTTTAAGTATCCTTGAATATCTGCCAGTTTATTCCTGTTTATTTTAGCAATTGGAGATGAACAGTTGTTTGTATTGGCTTTACCTTCTTTAGACTGTGTCTGTCTGAGTGGTATGTTGAGTTACATAGGTATAAACCAGAGGTAATGTTTTAAATCAAACATTAAACATTGATCAAACATTCAGAGTGCAAATATGAAATTTTGCAAACGTGCTTCCAATGAAGAAGAAAGGGGGGGGGGGGGGAAAAAAAAAAAAAAAACAGAAAAAAACAAAACCAACAACCCTGAGCCACATTAGTATGTTTCAATTTAATTTGAACCTTTCAAAAGTAAAATATATACTATCCTACAAGGTAGTGCAGAAATAGATTGTTCTTAGTTTTCACTTCAAAAACATATTCTATGCAGTGCTAGCATAACATTTCTTCTGAAAACTACTTTACAGAATGCTGGAGCAGTGATTGGAAAAGGTGGCAAAAATATTAAGGCACTTCGTACAGATGTGAGTATGAGTTTTGAATTGATTTAGTACCAGTTCTTTGAGAGCTCTACATAGAAAACTTGTGTACATTTCTATAAATTTATAAATTCAACTCTAGTCATCTCAGCAATTGCAACAGCAATTATAAGCTTTTTATGGTTGTTGGAGGAGATAACAAGCTTTTCAGTTTATATTGTGATTAAATTTCAGCTTCAGTCATGTAGGACGGTAGGTTTATATTAAACTACTTTGCTTTCAGTCTAGTTTTCTCTACATTATGCACTTCAATTGAATTAATATCTTTAATTACAAATATTGGCAAAGATTAAAACCCTTAACTGTACCTTTTTGTGTGAATAATACTATTGAAAGCCATTACAAGTGGCTGGCTTAACTCAGTGATAGGCAATGCTTTAATTTCTTTTAGGGGAGGGGAAAAATAATGGTCCATCTCTTGCTATTAAATAGTTTGGACATGATGCACAAAAGCATGAATGTTAAGTCTGCGTGATTTAAGTGTGTATAGAACAATGAAGAAACACTTTACACTGAAGTGTTTTTAAGTGGTCATGGCTCATCTATTCAATTTTTGTAGTGGAATGACTGATGATTAGAGATATGCTCAGTATTAACATGTTAATAACATTTGGCAGTTTTTCTTGATTTTAATTTGTTTACACTTCTGTACTTAGCATCAGCTACAATTCCAGCATTTTTTTCAAGCAAGACTGTATTCAACACAATGTTTGGTATTATATCATTGCAGAATCATTTCCAACTAAGTTCATGACTTATAGTGACTAGTATTGAAAATTAAGTTTTAATGGTCAGGAATCATTCATACACTCACTAACTTTGTCAGCTAATGTTTTTGTTTCATTGCTTTTAAGTAAATAAATACATCGTATAAGTCAATATAACTTAAATTATAACTTAAAATTTATTGCTTTTCCCCCTTTTCCCTCTCCTTGTGTGTGGTGTATTTTTTTTTTTTTTTTTTTTTTTATTTTTTTTATTTTGTTTTGGCTGTATATCTCCGTTGCCCATGTACTGGATCGCCTTGCCCTTGCATTACCCACCGTGACATTGGCCCATCTGCCCTGAATGCCCATGTGAAAACCCTGGTTGGCTATGCCCAAAAATGTGCCCATTGCCAAATGGGTGCCATACTTGACAACTTCTGATTGAATACCCTTGCCCAATGCCGACATCCATGAACGTCTGTGACCAATGCAGTACAATGCAAGTGTTTCAGTCCCAGACAGCAGTGGCCCCGAGCGGTATGTCCCAACAGTTTATGCCTTGCTGCCTGATTAGAAACAGATAAATGTATTTTATTACCTGCCATTTAGATAATTAAATAGTATCCGTGTATAGACTGTGTATTGTTTTGTTTCTATTTTTCTTCAAGTTTTCTGTATTATCTAACCCATTAAGTCTTTCTGTCACTGATTTTTTTTTTTTTTTTTTACATGACTTACCCACTTAAACAATCTACTGCTTTTATTTTGATGAAAGGATTATAGCTTCAAGTGCTGCATATTCACTGTATTATAAATCAAATTGCTTCCAGAGTCTCTTGCTCTTTGTGGCCTATCTTGCTTCTCCTAATAGTGTCTGTTTTTAATTATTTCTGATGAAATAACTGGTTCACTTTTCTTCACTTATTGTGTTCCATTTTTATTTTGAAGGTGTTTTTTCTTCTTTTTAATTTGTTTGTTTTGTCTTTCATTTGCCTTTCTGTTATTGCAGAGCCCATTAATAATCTAATTTCTCACTGGTCTCACAGTCTCACTCTAGATATGTAGAAAAAGTGTAGATGCAAGTGGTCAATGCTGCAAGAATTGTGTGCCACTTTTAACAATGTAATATAAAGGATATCCTAAATTAGTGATGATGAGGAACATGGGTATTCACTTCTGCTTCAGTTCTGTATGGATTTCTTGCCCATTTAATCCGAGCCCTCCTGAAAGTTCTTGCTTACTCTCACAGCAAGACCTACCTATTCTTATATAATGAGCATAAACCAAGATGCATGTGTTGTAAATTCAGTAAGCAGGTTTACTCTAGGTGGGGAATATTAATTGTATGTTTTTCTATATAGTTAAGTCTTGTTAGAATTTCATAAGTAATTATGAATATGACATTCGCTGCTACTACTTTTTTTTTTTTTATACTTCCATGCTTTCTAACACTGACTTCTGACAGCATCTTGAGTATAAGTGCAGATACAGAGACAATTGGAGAAATATTGAAGAAGATTATCCCTACTTTGGAAGAGGTATGTCTCTTGGGTTTGTTTCTTCAGAGGTATAAGATTAGGTTTTAAAGCGAAATTATTCTAGATGATTGTGTGATAGTTGCATTATATTAAGTTTTTCTTTTTCTTTTTTTTTAAAGGCCTATGGAACTCAAACTGTGTTGCTGTTTTGGGGGGGGAGTTGACAGAGGATAGAGACGGTCTCTTACATAATTAATATTTAGAACAGCATCCTCTCCTTCAAAACACTTGTCTCTTGACTTGTTCAGCTTCCAGTTTCAAGTAGTTGTACTGTGATTTCCATTGTCTTGACTTTGTAAGCAAGTTTGTTGTGCTATTTGATATCTTATGAAAGTTTTATACAAATGTAAAAAAAAAAAAAAAAAGTATGTGTGTATATGTATATATATATATATATATATATATATATACGCGCACATATATATGGAAAACTAACTTGACATCACCTTCTGTTGAGGTAAAGTGCCTAAATCAATGTGATTTTTATAATTGCAAATACAGTTGAACAAGTCCATGCTATGATATTTGCAGGAAAAAAAAAACTTAACACTTAATTTAAAAAAATAGTATGTATTATAATCTTATTTTTCCCCCGTGTTTAATATTTTATTCTTTCCATACATGCATTTTTCTTATAGTATCAACACTACAAAGGTAGTGACTTTGACTGTGAACTAAGGCTTCTAATTCACCAAAGTCTGGCAGGAGGAATCATTGGTGTCAAGGGTGCTAAAATCAAAGAACTCAGAGAGGTACTGTTACCTGTTCTTTTTGGAGTGTTTCAAGTTCTTAGCAAAGTGTACAAGTATCTTTTGTACAATAATTCCTTCAGAACATATTTCATACATGATTTCAGTCTTTTATGTTTGAGCTGAGTAACTTATTGCAACTTTTTTGCAAACGATTAGAAATAAAATAGCTGTTTATGATAGAGCCTCGGATTTCCTACCAAACTTCTAAGCATATTTGCAGTAGAGTAACTTTCATAAACAAAGAATACTTTTTTAAGTTAAAATGGCATTCATCGCTTCTGGAATGAACTGTGGAATAGACTATAGATCTATTGCTGATATTGAACGTGCAAAATGGTTTAGCATGGATGGATTTCCACTAACTCTAATGATGATAATTTAATGGATGTTTGGATTTTTTCTATATTTTGTGGTGGATTTTCTGGTTGGTTTTTATTTGTTGTTGTTGTGTTGTTGTTTTTTTTTGTTTTTGTTTTTTTTTTTTTTTTTTTGTTTGTTTGTTTTGTTCTTAACTTCTGCTTCCTTGAAGACCAATGTTTCCTTTTGTGAAGGTGTGAAGGAATTAGGTTTTGTTCTATGAAACTAGAGTTATTCTCTGTCCTTTCCTGGCATTACGTTAAAGGCAGTTCTAGGTCAGTTCAGGTGTAACTTGCAGTCTGTTTGTGGATTGAGGGCAGTAAGATAAATAGATGTAAGGTCCCCTCCAACCTAAGCCATTCTATGATAATTCTGACAACGTCACTGTTTTGTGTCCAAAATGTGTTTTTATTACATGTGAAGATTCTAAACCTGTAAGCTTACAATAGGTGATTCTTTTGCTAATATTCAATTAAATGACGGTTTATATGAGTCATAACTAAAAGCTTTTAAACTTCCAATCTTTTTTTTTTCATGTTCACAAAATTGTTTAAAGAACTTCTGTACTTTTGTTTGAAGATTTTGTTTTTTTCTTAACAGAATACTCAGACCACCATTAAGCTCTTCCAAGAGTGTTGTCCTCATTCCACTGATAGAGTGGTGCTTATTGGTGGAAAACCTGATAGAGTTGTGGAATGTATCAAGATTATTTTGGATCTTATATCTGAGGTAACATCTTATTTTATTCATACGTTAATGTCTGTTGAAGTCAGGGTGAAAAATTGTATCTTTTCATTTCTATTTATAATTAGGTAACTTTTCTCCAATAACAAATAAAGCGTTGGACTTTCAGCATAGTCTAAAATTATTCCTGTTTCTTATGTTTGAGATCTATTGTGGGTGTCTAGTTATCTTGTACTGATGGACAGTCGGCTGAATGTGAGTCAGCAGTGTGCCCAGGTGGCCAAGAAGGCCAGTAGTGTCTTGGCTTGTATCAGGAATGGTGTGGTGAGCAGGACTGGGGAAGTCATCCTGCCCCTGTACATGGCACTGGTGAGGCCTCACCTTGAGTACTGTGTTCAGTTTTGGGCACCTCAGTACAGAAAGAACATGGAGGTGCTGGAGCAGGTTCAGACAAGGGCAGCAAGGCTTGTGAAGGGCTTGGAGAATGTGCCCTACAAGGAGTGACCGAAGGAATTGGGGCTGTTTAGTGTGGGGAAGAGGAGGCTGAGGGGAGACCTTATTGCTCTCTTCCAATATCTGAAAGGTGACTGCAGTGGAAGCGGGGTTGGTCTCTTTTCACTGGTGGCAGGATGAGGGGAAACAGCCTGAAGTTGCGCCAGGGTAAGTTTGGGTTGGATATCAGGAAAAACGTCTTTACAGAAAGGGTTGTTAAGCACTGGAATAGGCTCCCCAGGGAGGTGGTTGAGTCACCATCCCTGAATGTGTTTAAAAACCATTTGGATGTGGTGCTCAGGGACATGATTTAGCAGAGGGTTGTTAGAGTTAGGGTAGTATGGTTACATTGTGGTTGGACTTGATGATCTGTAAGGTCTTTTCCAACCTGAGTAATTCCATGATTCTGTGATTCCATTATTATGGAAGAGGGAAGCAATTTTTGGTACTGATGGACTGTTAGCTATGATCATTAAAAGAAGAAATTTAAAAATGGTGCGGAAGGGAGGGCTGCCTATCATTAACAGTTTCTCTCTCATAGTTCTCCATGTCAGAAAGCGTATTACTGTCCCTGACTTTCTTTTCAGCATTATGAAATCGATAATTTATTCAGAATGTATAAGCGTAACAGTCAGTGGTAACTGGTGTGTGTGTGTGTGTGTGTTTGTCTTAGTCTCCAATTAAAGGACGAGCCCAGCCTTATGATCCCAATTTCTATGATGAAACATATGACTACGGTGGCTTCACGATGATGTTTGATGATAGAAGGGGACGTCCTGTAGGCTTTCCAATGCGTGGAAGAGGAGGCTTTGATCGAATGCCTCCAAATCGTGGTGGGAGACCTATTCCTCCATCAAGAAGAGATTACGATGATATGAGCCCTCGCAGAGGACCTCCACCACCTCCACCAGGCCGTGGTAGCAGAGGTGGCAGCAGAGCTCGTAATCTTCCTCTTCCTCCTCCTCCACCTCCTCGTGGCGGGTGAGTTGTATAAATGCGTTCTATAAAACTCAAGTTGAGTACAATTTTCTGAGTTACGTTAATGTTTGCAGGACTTGTTTCGCAATTCCTTGCTGATAGTGTTTGTACAGGATTGAGTGTGTATCGCACTAGAGAAATTTGAATTCATTTATTTCTGTAATGTTGCAGTCTATCAGGACTGTAGTCAATATTTCTGTAACTTTAGTTTATGTCATTTGGAACTTGGCTAAAACAATCAATCTGAGTTGTGTGCAAGTCATGAAAATGAATGTTTGAATGGGAGTATATAACCTAATTTATAACATGAGTTCTGTGCTGCTGCTTTTATCATTTTAGAGATCTTATGTCTTATGACCGAAGGGGCAGACCTGGAGACCGTTATGATGGAATGGTAGGAGTTAAAAATTCATATTGTTGTGTTTAGTGTAATTAGTTAACACGTAGAATATCTGAAGAAATTCTTCTTGAATACATACACGTGTCTTGACATGCATGCTTATGATAAACTTTGATAGTAACAAAATGTTTTTTTCCTGTACATATAATCCCTCTGGAAGGAGAATGTTTGGGGTCTAAAGGATATTTGTGTTGTGATATGCTGTGTGCTTTTCTGTACTTTGTTTTTCATATATTTGTTTTTTGTTATTCGTTCTTTGATTTTTTTTTTTTTTTTTTTTTTAATTTTTTTTTTTTTTTTAAACTTTGTTTTGTCTTGGTTTTCCTACCTGCCATTAACAGTGGTATAGAAAGTCATAGACCATGGTCCGTGCAGGTTTTATTGTGTTGCCTTCTTGAATTTTATTTTATTTTTTTATTGAGAATGTGTTGTGGTTTAACTCAGCAGGTGGCTAAGTACCACGAAGTTGTTCATTCACACCCTTTCCAGTTAGATGGGAGAGAGGTGGGGGGGTTAGAATTTGTGGGTTGAGGTGAAACTACTAAGACAGAGAAAAGGGAAAGGATAATAGTTATGACTAGTATATATATGTGTGTGTGCGTGTGTGTGTGTGTATGTATATATATATATATATATATATATATATATATATATAATGGGTCAGCCAGTAGCGAGCAATTGCTTGTGCATCACTTTTTATATATATATGCATGCACACACCCACTGATTAATGACCAGCTACCTCCCCTGAGCAGCAGAAAAAGGAGTTGAACTCCCACCTACCTTCTTCAAATCTCTTTCCACATGATGTCATATGGAATGGAATATTCATTTGGCTAATTTAAGTCAGCTGTCCTAATTGTGTTCCCTCCCAGCTTTTTTGGGCCCATCACTGTGAGTGAGTGGCCTTGGCTCTGTACAACACTGCTTAGCAGCAACTATAAACATGAGTGTGTTATCAACATTGTTTTTCTTCAAGAACCAAAGCATAGCATCATATGAGACACTCTGAAGAAAACAATTCTGTCCCAGCTGAAACTAAGACAGGTGACAGAAATGGGAATTGTGGGCTTGTCAGAACAGGAGAATATGTTAGAACAATGTTCTATTAAGAATGTTTGTATGAATCAGATTTTTGTTAAAGGAATTTTAACACATCTGTTGGAAAGCATGAATAATATTTATAAAAAGCTCTAGTTGGTCTGGTAGGTAATTATTTGTTCAAATCAATTTTTGTCTACATGCTGATTTTGCTTTCAAAAAAAAAAAAGTCTACTATAATTCTGTTGCATTGCCTCCTACGGTACTGACCTAAAACCAGGCCAGGACCAAATGACTGCACGCACACACCAATATGATGAACAGCAAAATGGCCTTTATTACACGTGAACTCTAGCTTATATAACCTATGTGCTTCGTCTACGCCCCTAAGGGCACGTGCCACACATCAATCATAGAGCAGGGAGAGGGCCTGTCGCGTCACATCCCGTGGGGGGGTCTCGCAGTTGCTGACAACAAATTCCAAATGCTTTGGAGTCATGGCTACTGCGAAGTTGAATTTTAAATGAAATTAGATGTGTTCAACCATGTTAATGCTAATGAGGGAAGTGGTAGCTCATATGCTACCTCCCTTGGGTGGTAGTTTTGGAAGGCATGGAACCCCAGGAAGGCTGGAAATACTTTAAGGAAGTTATTTTAAAGGTGCAGGAGCTGACCATCCCTAAGTCATGGAAGACAAGACAATGGGCAAGGAGGCCGGACCGGCTGAGCAGAGACCTTTGGCTGGAACTCAAGAGCAAAAGGGAAGTTTATGGTCTTTGGAAGAGTGGGCAAGCAACTTATGATTATTACAAGTATGTAGTGAAGCTGTGCAGGGAGAAAACAAGAAAAGTCAAAGCCCAGCTAGAACTGAATTTGGCCACTAAGGTGAAGGACAACAATAAGTATTTCTATAAATACATCAGCAGTAAGAGAAGGGCTAGGGAGAATCTCCATCCCTTGTTGGATGCTGAGGGCAACCTGGTGACCAAGGATCAGGATAAAGCTGAGGTACTTAATGCGTTCTTTGCCTCGGTCTTTAATAGTAAGACTTGTTACTCCCTGGGCACACAGCCCTTGTGCTGGTAGATAAGGATGGGGAACAGAATAGGGCCTGCATAATCCATGATGAGATGGTTTTGGACCTGCTCCGAAAGCTGGGTGCTCACAAGTCCATGGGGCTGGATGGATTGCCCCCTAGAATGCTGAGGGTGTTGGCGGATGTGGTTGCCAAGCCACTCTCCATCATTCTTCGGCAGTCCTGGCTAACTGGGGATGTCCTGGCGGACTGGAGACTGGCAAATGTGACGCCCATCTTCAAAAAGGGCCAGAAAGATGATCCTGGTAGCTACAGACCTATCAGTCTCACCTCGGTGCCGGTAAAGGTTATGGAACGGATAATCTCGGGAGCCATCATGGACCAGTTAAAGGTCAACCAGGGGATCAGGCCCAGTCAGCATAAGTTTATGAATGGTAGGTCCTGTTTGACAAACCTCATTTCATTCTATGACAAGGTGATCCGCTTAGTGGATGAAGGTAAGGCTGTGATGTGGTCTGCCTGGACATCAGTAAGGCCTTTGACACTGTCCCCCACAACATTCTCATGGAGAATCTGTCTGCCCATGGTTTGGATGGGCATATGTTCTGCTGGGTGAAGCACTGGCTGCATGGCTGGGCCCAAAGAGTTGTGGTCAATGGAGTTAAATTCAGTTGGCGGCCGGTCACGAGTGGTATCCCCTGCGGCTCGGTACTGGGGCCGCTTCTATTTAACGTCTTTATGAATGATCTTGACAAGGGGATTGAGTGGAATCCTTCAGGACGTTTGCAGACAACACCAAGTTGGGAGGGAGTGTTGATCTGCCAGAAGGGGAGAAAGGCACTACAGAGGGACCTGGATAGGCTGGATTGATGGGCCAAGGCAAACTATGAGTTTCAATAGGGCCAAGTGTTAGGTCCTGCGTAACAGTCAGTGGTAACTGGTGTGTGTGTGTGTTTGTCTTAGTCTCCAATTAAAGGACGAGCCCAGCCTTATCCCAATTTCTATGATTTTATGCTAAGGAAAGTTTTAAAAGGCTTAAAGATAACTTCCCAGTGGTAATTTCCTGTTTTATTGGATTCTTCTTTCCTGGAAATTGACATCATAGGCATCTAGGAAATAAATCTCTGTTGTAAGTACCCTTTTTTTTTTTTTTTTTTTTTTTTTTTTTTTTTTTTTTTCTGGCTCTGTTTGGCACCATACTTAAGATAACATGCAAGAAGAGTTTGATAGAATTTTGTTTCGTTGTTGTTTTGTTTTTCTTCATTTAAATGAATGGAATAAAAAGGAGCTGAGTGGAGCTTGAAACAGACTACTTAAATGAGTGTTACATATAGTCTTCTACTGGAAGGAAGAGGCATTCTGGTATGAAGAGGCAGATAGTTCCAGCAATACAAACTGGAAGTACGTATTCTAATGTCAAAATTGGGGCACCACAGAACCCTAGCAAAAATATTTCTCACTATTTAGAGTAGATTAGAATAGAATAGATAAAATAGTTGGAAGGGACCTACAAAGATCTAGTCCAACTGCCTGACCTTCAGAGCTAGCCAAAAATTGAAGACATTTTTCAAAATATGTAGTCTGAATGACTTACACTTAAAATTACCAAAAAAACAAAACAAAAAAAAAAAAAAAAAAAAACAAACAAAAAAAAAAAAACAAAAAAAAAAAGCATTCAATTTCTATACTGGATTTTATGAAACTAGACGAATCAAGAGCTATACCTCTAAGAGCCCTTATTTGTATTCTTATGTTTTCTTATTTCAGTATTTGTGTTTTCTTATTTGGAACTGGTAAAGCTAATGTCAGGGCATATAAACAACAGCTTGCCCTTCGTTGGGTATCTGGTTGAGTGCAGTCTTCAGCTTAATTCTTGGATAGTAGTGTTTTAGTTCTATTCCATTCCACTTAGAATAGAAAATTGGATTGTTTAATCTGACATGTATCAGCTTGATCTTGGCTTTCTTGACGAGTTCTTGCAAGTTTAGTAAAAGTCATTTCTGATAATTTTCTGTGTTGTAAAAAGTAATTTTATTTTTTCAAATACTATGCATTTCATATAGAAACCATTCCCTAGCAAAATATTTCAAAATATTTTAGTATAAATGATGGATCATTTGCTCTGTAACTTTGCCTGGTACCGAGGTCAGACTGACAGGCCTGTAGTTCCCCGGAACCTCCTTATGGCCCTTCTTGTAGATGGGAGTCACATCAGCAAGCCTCCAATCCTCTGGGACCTCCCCAGATAACCAGGAGTGCTGGTAGGTGGCTGAGAGTGGCTTGGCAAACACCCCCACCAGCTCCCTCAGCACCCTAGGATGGAGCCCATCTGGTCCCATGGACTTGTGACAGTCCAGATGGAGGAGGAGCTCTCTGTCTCCACTTGAATCACCGGGGATGTATTCTGTGTAGCATCCTAGACTTCCAGATCAGGGTGTAAAGTACCCTGAGGATAACTGATCTGCTTATTAAAGGCAGATGTAAAGAAGGTGTTGAGGACCTCAGCCTTATCCTCAGTGGTCACGTTCCCCACTGCATCAAATAAAGGATGGAAATTCTCCTTGGTTCTTCTCTTACCATTGATATACTTGTTCTCTTCTACTGCAGCGGCCAATCTGAGTTCAAGTTGGACTTTTGCCTTCCTAACTTCCTCCCTGCATACCTTAGGAAGTTCCTAGTAATCTCCCCAAGTAGCCTGTCCCTTCTTCCAGGAGACATAGACTCTCTTCTTCTCCCTGAGTCTCAACAGTAGTTCCTGGTTCATCCACACCAGTCTTCTTCCCCTACAGCTCGCCTTACGGCATTCAGGGAGAGCCTGTTCTTGTGCTTTTAAGATTTCCATCTTGAGGAGCGTCCAGGCTTCTTGGACCCCTTTTCCCTTAAGGAATGACTCCCAAGGGACCCATGTTACAAGCGTCCTGAATAGATCAAAGTCTGCCCTCTTGAAGTTCAAGATAGCAGTTCTGCCAGTCACCCTTCTGACATCTCCAAGAAAAGAGAATTCTACAATTTAATGGTTGCTCTGCCCTTGACTGTCCCCAACCTTCACATCTCCCACCAGTCCTCCTCTGTTAGTGAAGAGCAAGTCTAGTAGGGCACCACTCCTGGTAGACTCTCTTAACAGCTGCGTAAGGAAGCTATCTTCTACGCATTCTAGAAACCTGCTAGACTGTTTCCTCTGTGCTGTATTGTATTTCCAGCATAGATCAGGGAAGTTGAAGTCTCTCAGGAGAACAAGTGTTGGAGATCATGCGACTTCCACAAGCTGCTCATAGAAGGTCTCATCCATCTCTTCATCGTGATTAGGGGGTCTATAACAGACCCCCACCAAGATGTCACCCCTACAGGCCTTCCCCCTGATCCTTACCCATAGACACTCAACTTTATCATTCCAACCTGAGGCTCTTCTACCTCGAAACAGCCTTTAATATAAAGGGCTACACCACCACCCTTCCTTCCTCATCTGTCCTTTCCGAAGAGCTTGTAGCCATCCATCACAGCACTCCAGTCATGAGAGTGGTCCCACCGTGTTTTGGTAATAGCAACTAGGTCATTGTTAGCTTGCTGCACAATCGCTTCTCACTCCTCCTGCTTGTTGTCTGTGCTGCATGCATTGGTGTATGCACTTCAGCTGAGTCATAGAATCATAGACAAGGTTGGAAACAACCTGCAAAATCATGTAGTCCAACTGCCCTCCCATTGCCATTGCTACCACAAGCTACTAAACCATATCTCATAGCTTCTCATCCAGACACCTCTTGAACACTGTCAGGGATGGCAACTCCACCACCTCCCTGGGCAGGCCATTCCAGTGTCTAAACACTCTGAGATAAAACGTTTTTCCTTATGTTTAAACTAAACCTTCCTCGGGTCCTGTTTGTTGCCTGGGAGAAGAGGCCAAACCCCTCCTCATCACAGCCTCCCTTCAGGAAGTTGTTGAGGGCAATGAGGTCTCTGAGCCTCCTCTTCTTCAGACTAAATAATCCCAGCTACCTCAGCCGCTCATCGTAAGACTTGTGCTCCAGACCCCTCACCAGTTTCGTTGCCCTTCTCTGGAGTCATCTGCCTCACCTCCAGCTCAAGCATCGTTCCCCTAGGCTCATTTCTTGTGAGCCCTGTTTTGTCCCCTTCCCCTGTTGTAGCTAGTTTAAAGCTCTTTCGATAAGCCCCGCTAGCTCTTGCGATAGGATTTGTTGTCCCCTATGAGATAGGTGGGTTCCATGGACAGACAACAGGCCATGGGCCAAGAAGATCATTAAAAGGTGATGTCTATAGTGATGATCTAGGATATACAGAAATCCTCATTTTTCTGCTAGTTCTCTTTTCTGTAAAAGGTGGAAGAATTCAGCAGTTCAGGACTTGTAAGATGGTAAATTGAGATTGGATGTTGAAACTTTATTTTTCTGCTGTAATACTGACAACCTTATGAATTATAAGATGTGAGGAAAAAAATCATTTGAATTTCAAAAAATATTTATTCCCGTTGCGTGTAGAGTGTCACCCAATTAGCAAGTTATCTGCCTGCTACCTTGGTTTCCTGTTTTAACTGTATATAATTGTTATAAGAGTTAATTTGTTGAGACTTGTATTGTTTCTCTATTACAGAACTACATATTTTAGTATGCAACTACTCCAAATCAAATGGACCATAAAAGCCATTTTGATAGCTGAGTGTCACGGGGTTATCCTTAGATATAAGTCTGTGATGGGGGGCACAGACCCCAGGAAGAAGAGAGGGGTTTTTTTGTTTTTTTTTGTTTTGTTTTGTTTTTTTTAAAAAAAAAAAAAAAAAGGGTTGTGTGTGCTCTGGGAGAGGGCGAAGAGGGGGAAGGGCAGAGAGCTAGCTGATAGTTTTAACAAAGAGAAAACAACGGCAACAATCTGAGGAGGAAGGGTAATTTACTGAATTTAACTAAATCAAACAAAACGAGAGAGACAAGAGTATCAAAAATGAGAGTCAAACCACGATAGTGCGAGGGAAAGCACGTGCTTTCTCCACAGCGAGCCGAGCTGGGCCAGATGGGGAGAGGCAGATGCTCCGGGTCCTGTCCGCAGCTCCACCCCACTTCCTCTTTCCCGCCAGGTCCTCTGGGGATGCCACCCCCTCCCCTCCCATCAGGATATTCCAAGAGTCCACAAAAGGTAGTAAATGGAAAAAAAACGTTAACTCGTTAACACCCACTGGTCCACATGATGTTCTGATGTGGAATGCTGACAACAAAAAAAAACCACGAAATCACAACACAGATAAAACCTGAACACGTTTTCAGGTGGTGTAATTTTTTTGTTTTTGTTGTTGTGTGTTTTTTTTGTTTGTTTGTTTGTTTTGTTTGTTTGTTTCACTTCTGTTTGTTTTTGACATTCCTATGGTTCCTTCACATAAACAAATGCACACCTTATCCCTGGCCCAGTTCATTTCTGTGCAAGTGCGTATAAAGCATAAACCCCATTGTGCTTTTCAGTGTAGGCTGTTTTCTAGTTTTGTTTTGATGTGGGTTGTTGTTTTGTTTTGTGTGGGTTGTTTTTTCTTCCAAAAGTGTTTTCTGATTTCTAAATTATTTTTAATTTGGAGTTAATTCCTACTTGGTTTTTTTATTTTTAATATATATGTTGGTCTACATAAGCATTTCAGTAAAGGTACATGCATTTAAACATGTAGTACTTTCAATTGTTTTTTAAGGGATTTGATATTAAGGAGTATAGTAAAAAAAAAATAAAAAATCAACCTAGTTTATCCATATAAATACTAGAAGAAATTAATAACATTTCAGTCTTCTGGGACAATTCTTTAAAAATAAGGGAAAGGTACATTAAGGAATTAATGGCATCAACTAAGATTGTTTACATATCCTTTAATTTAGGTGTTAAAGTCAATAAATTCTTGTTAATACTATGCTTTTTGTCTTAGCTATTTGTTTCATTTGGTTTCCATTTAATTTTGTTGGTAAAATTGGTAGCTAGCACAAATGAGTCTGTAGAGAAGAAAATTGTTCTGTATCTTATGATATATCCTGCACTTAATAGTTCAGGAACCATTTTTAGATTGTGCAAGTGTGTTTATATTTGAATCTGCTATCCATTTAAAGTAGATTCTACAAATTATCTTTTTATAATTGCTTGGTTTTATTTTTCAGTATTTCTTTTACATTTGTGGCATAAATATGGTATATATCACTTTTAAAATGTAATTAGATTACTAATATCATTAAGCAGCAGTAGATTATTAGTTTAATCAGCAGCTATATGAGGTATATGGAAATGAAATAAAATATGAGAAGCCCTATCTTTCCTGTTTTATGTGCTGTTTATGTAGGTATATCAATGACAGCTCTTCTTGTGCATGGGATAAATAGAAGATTTCGGTGTTTGAGAGTAACATCTTTTAGTATATAGTACAGTTTTAGCACTTAAAGCAAGCAAAGAAAATCTGTTCAAGTTTTACTCTTCCTTTAACCGTTTTACGTAAAAACAAAATCTATTTACAGAAACAGAGAATAAATGAGTGTGACCAGTTACAGTTCCCTTGCAATGAAAGTAAAAGGGAATAAGTCTTGTAACTGGTCTATATCATGTACTTTTGAATCTTTGTAGTTCAGAAAAAAATTTCATTATATCAGTATATATGCATTTGCTTGCCAAGTTACATATAAGCCTCCATAACGTGGACTTAATTTGGATTAATTTACTATTTTCATCCTGCCTGAAAGATGATGCAGTGTCATGTGGATGCCTGCGATGACATGCAGCCGCCAGAGTTGGTGAGTGCATTTGTACTTTTATTAGACTGGTGTTTAATTGTTGAATTTTTTTTTTTTTTTTTTTTGAGAAAATCACTTTCTTGAGTTGTTTAAGTGATAACTTGAATTTTTTGAATTTGAATGTACTCAGTGGCATCTTGGTTCTAGTGAAAAATCACTAAAGTTGTGTTTCTATCTCAGATTATTAGTAGTTTGTCCTGTACAGGCAGTTAATGTTCCACAATCGAAGTGTGTAGCAGCACAGCCGAAAGTTTTTCTGTTATTTTGTTATTCTGTTATATTGTGTCTTTTGCACTCCATTCTGCTGTTTTGAATTGTACCTTTCAGTGTAACACTTGGTTTTTAACACCCTGCAGATGCATGTATTTCAGGATATGTTTTGTTTTACCTTGGTTTTGTGTTTTCTTCTGTTTCAAACAAGGAATGTTTAAATATTAGGCATTTTCTACCCATATATCTGAAAGCATTCCATTTGTGTTTATAAAAAAAAAAAAATATTGTTCTCGGGTTTTAGGAAGGAAAGCTCAAAGGAGATTGGTAAGCATTTATGCTGTGTAGAAGATGGTGCTGCCAAATATTAAGTGTTAGTTCCTATCTTACATAAGCACTGCAGATAGATAGGTCACTCTGAGGGCAATGCCTCCTGTTTATTTCCATGGAAACTACAACAGATGCAAAGAGCACAGTAACGCTTTTTGATAGAGCAAATTATCAGCTACAAAACACTATTTTTCAACACAGTCATCACTATTTGCTATGCATGTTCACCGGTGATGAACAAGAACCTGCATGCAATTCTTGTATTTAAAAAAGAGAAAAAAAAAAAATTACATATCTATCAGCACCAGTGGGGGTGACCCTCTGTCATGATTGTGTTTTCTAAGATAAAAAGAATTGTAGCAGTCTGAATGTACTGTCCTCTCAGTTGGTGACTGGGATCTGCACAAAGGAAGGAGGGTGGATATGCTGAATGAATGGCCCTGCAAATGGTGTCGTACTCAGGGCTTTGTGTACTATGGCTTGGGACACAGCCTTGAGAAAGGGGGAATGCTGGTGGCAGATGGGAGCCGACTGACTAGAAGGGCCACAAATATTTTTGGAAACAAGGTGGCTGGGTTGGTTAGCAGGGCTTTAAACTAGGTATGATGGGATAAGGGGGTGTACTAGGTGACAGAGAAGTGTGTGGGAACGCTGTCACCTTGGGAGGCAGAAAGGGAAAACCCCAGACTTGTCCTGGAGGCTCCTCTGAGAAGGCCGTGAGGCCAATAGCTAAGCTGAAGTGCCTCTATGCCAATGGGTGCAGGATGGGAAAGGAGGAAGAGTTAGAAACCGTGGCACGATAGGGAAAGCATGATCTAATTGCTCTCACGGAAACATGGTGGGGATGAATCCCATGATTGGACTACCCTGATTGAGGACTACAGGCTTTTCAGAAGGGATAGACTGGGTAGGGGAGTGGCAGAGTTGCCCTCTATGTTAGGAAATGGATAGATTGCGAAGAGCTGTGTCTGAAGAACAGCCATGACCAGGTTGGAAACTTATGGGTAAAAATCAAGGATCGGTCCAGCAAAGGGCATGTAGTGGTTGGGGTCTACAGGCCACCAGGAGGTGGCTGTTGATGAGGCCTTCTTGCTTCAGCTGCGGGAGGTGTCATGCTCATGGGCTCTTGTCCTGATGGGGGATTTCAAGCACCCAGATATCTACTGGGATAGTGGCGTGGCGGGTGGCAGACAATCGGGAGATTCCTGGAATCTGTTGAAGACAACTTCCTGATCTAGGTAGTACATGGACCAAGCCGAGGTGAAGCCTTACTGGACCTGCTTGCTACTAATGCAGAGGAGAGCGTTGTAGAGGTTAAGATTGGAGACAGCCTGGGCTGTAGTGACCATGCCTTGGTGGAGTTTGCGATCTTAAAGAATGTGGGCCTAGCAGAAAGCAAAGCTAGGACCTCGTGCTTTAGGAGGGAAAACTTTTAGCAGCTCAAGGAACTGCTGAGTGGGATCCCCTGGGAAACTGTTCTTAAGGACATGGGCACAGAACAAAGCTGGCAGCTATTTAAGGACACCCTTCTGAGAGTGCAATGGCTCTCCATCCCCCAGCAGAAGAAGTCGAGCAGGGGAGGCAGAAGTCCATCATGGCTGTGCAAGGACCTGCAGCTTAAACTGAGAGAAAACAGGGAAATGTACAGAAAGTGCAAGCAGGGTTGTGTAGCCTGGGAGGAATACAGGGCTGTTGTCCGTGTGTGGAGAGATAGGATTAGGAAATCCAAGGTGTAGATGAAGCTGAACTTGGCAAGGGATGTAAAAGATAACAAGAAGGAGTTCTACAGGTACATAGGCAGGAGGAGACAGGCCAAGAGGAGTGTTCCCCCTATGATGAAAGGCAGTGGGGAGCTGGCTTCTTCAGACATAGAAAAAGCTGAGGTACTCAATGGGTGCTTTGCCTCAGTCTTCACGGGTGATCAGGCTTCCTGTGTCTTCCAGGACCGTGAGCCTCTAGGTGAGGGTGTGGGGAATAGCTTCTGTCCCACTGTAACAGTGGAACAAGTCTGAGTCCTCATGAAATTGAACGTGTTTAAGTCCATGGGGCCAGATGATATCCATCCTATGGTTCTGAAAAAGATGGCTGATGTGGTTGCTAAGCCGTTCTCCATCATATTTGAAAAATCATGGCTGTCTGGTGAAGTCCTCGGTGACTGGAAAAAAGGAAACATTACCCCTATCTTTAAGGGAGAAAGGAAGACCCGGGAAACTATAGACTGGTGAGCCTCACCTCTGTGCCTGGGAAGATCATGAAGCAGATCCTCCTAGAAACTGTTAAGGCACATACAAGATAGAGGCGATTTGAGACGGCCAGGATGGTGTCACTAAGGGCAGATGGTGCCTGACCAATCTGGTGGCCTTTTATGATGGACTGACAGCTTCGGTGGATGGGGGAAGGACGATGGATGTCATCTACCGGGACTTCTGCAAGGCCTTTGACATGGTCCCTCACCACATCCTTCTCTCTAAATTGGAGAAGTGTAGGTTTGAAGGATGGACCATTTGATGGATTAGGAATTGGCTGGCTGGACACAGCCAAAGGGTTGCAATCAATGGTTGCGTCAGGGTGGAGGCCGGTCACAAGCAGTGTCCCTCAGGGGTCAGCCTGGGGACTGGTGCTCTTCAACATCTTCATCAATGACATAGACAACGGCATCGAGTGCACCCTCAGCAAGATTGAGTATGACACCAAGTAGAGCGGTGCAGCTGATATATCCGAAGGAAGGGAAGCCATCCAGAGGGACCCTGGACAGGCTGGAGAAGTGGGCCCATGAAAACCTAATGAGGTTCAACAAGGCCAAGTGCAGGGTGCTGCACTTGGGTTGGGGCAATCCCAGGTGTTTATACAAACTAGGGGAAGATCTCCATGAGAGCAGCCCTGCAGAGAAGGACTTGGGGGTCCTGGTGGATGAGAAGCTGGACATGAGCCAGCAGCATGCGCTTGCAGCCCAGAAGGCCTACTGTGTTCTGGGCTGCATTAAAAAAGGGGTGGCCAGCAGGGAAAGGGAGGTGATTGTCCCCCTCTACTAGGCTCTTGTGAAGCCCCATCTGGAGTACTGCATCCAGGCCTGGGGCCCCCAGTATAGGAAGGACGTGGAGCTCTTGGAGCATGTCCAGAGACGGGCCACTAAGATGACCAGAGGGCTGGAGCACCTCTCCTGTGAGGTTGAGGTAACTGGGCTTGTTTAGCTTGGCGAAGAGAAGGCTCCGGGGAGAGCTCATTGTGGCCTTCCAGTACTTGAAGGGAGCGTATAAACAGGAGGGGGGAATGGCTGTTTACAAGGGTGGATATTGATAGGACAAGGGGGAATGGTTTTAAACTGAGACAGGGGAGGTTTAGGTTAGTTATTAGGAGGAAGTTTTTCACACAGAGGATGGTGAGGCACTGGAACAGGTTGCCCAAGGAGGTTGTGGATGCCCCATCCCTGGAGGCATTCAAAGCCAGGCTGGATGTGGCTCTGGGCATCCTGGTCTAGTGGTTGGTGACCCTGCACATAGCTGGGGGGTTGAAACTCGATGATCATTGTGGTCCTTTTCAACCCAGGCCATTCTATGATAGACATAAAATTAAGAAAGCTATTCTTCGAGTTTATCTGTTTATTTCCTTAAGATGTAGATGGAGTAGGAGGGTTGATAGTTGTTAGGTTCACTTATGGTTCCAACTAAGACTTGCATTTCTCCTCAGCTGTGTAGGTAGTAGTAATCGAGCTGAAATCTTTTTATTTGAATGTTTGTTTAGTTTAAGGGTCTACATCAAGGATCAATATCAAGAACTGTTCAGCAGCTGAATTGATAAAGAGTGCTTGATAAACTACTGTAGCTAAATCTTAGTGTCACTTGATACCTTACTCTTAGAGATTTTGACTGGGAAGGTATGAGATTCTCATGAGATTGCCTTCTCCCTCCCCCACCTTCCTGATTGCACTTGAATTAAGGATGTAGGTTAGGATTTTTGCATAAAATAGGCTCAAAGTTAATGTTATTATACATTATGTGAATGAAACAATGATTTGATATTTAAGGATTTCCTTTCTCTTTTTCTTATAGTTTGAGGGTGGCTCTGGATATGGTAAGTTTTTATATAGGACTTTGACACTAACTTCATTATTTAATCAGTAAAAGACTTGATGCATATGTTTAAATTAGACTATTCTTATGCAGGGGGCCGTGGTTCGTATGGAGATCTTGGTGGGCCCATCATCACAACACAAGTAACAATTCCCAAAGATGTGAGTTCAGTTGACTTGCTTTACATGTACATTTTTTAAGTCACAGCCTTTTCTCAGACTGCAAGTAAACCAAAAGCATTTGAGATGCTTGATGAGTACTTTTAATATAAAGCAACTGCTTTTAAATCACTGAAAGTCTATTTTCAAGAATATTTGTTTTGTCTTTGCTTCAGAGATGCACTGGACTATTTTATGAATTGTTCACATTCAGTAATAGAGACAGTCTATATAACTCAGTTTTGCAAACAGATATCTGGTTCTTCCAACTTTATCTCACTTGTGTTTATATAATAAATGCTGCAGAGGCTGTTTTGAGACTCTAACAGAGTATGCTTTCATTGCAGCTCATCAAGATAAATTAATGGAAACTACTCAAACAGTACTGTGTTTTTACAGAGAATGTTGTACAAAAAATGAATACTTTTTCTCCCCTAGTTGGCAGGATCTATTATTGGAAAGGGTGGCCAGAGAATCAAACAGATACGACATGAGTCAGGAGCTTCAATCAAAATTGATGAACCCTTAGAAGGCTCAGAAGACCGAATAATAACTATTACGGGAACACAGGACCAGATACAAAATGCACAGTACTTACTGCAGAATAGGCAAGTTGATGAAGCTGAATGCTGTCCTTATTGTCAGTTTTAAACTTACTTCCTACTGGACTCTAAAATTTTTCTGTGTGCTATATATTTAGAAAACAGGATTTAAGTAACAGTTGAACTTCACCAGTAGTAGTTCTGCCTTTCTTCTCTTCTGTTCTCCATTCCAACTAAAATGAAGACTCTGTAAAAACTGATCTTGATGGAAGATGCCTTAATCAAGTAGTCCTCTTGTTTATCTGGTGCAAATTGCTGCAAAAAAAAAAAAAAAAAACCCACAAAAAAAAAAACCTACTTGTAATCGCATGGAACCTGTAGAAAACACAGAAGGTTTCAGTGGACGTTGGTCTAGTTCTGTGTGGAAGACTAGTGATTTTTGTTGTTTTTAGGTAACTAAATTGACAACAAATCACAGTCTACCATATGGCACAGACTATGCCTCTACAGGACAAGTTGAAATAAATTGGTGCTGTTATGCAGCATTTAACACCTCACTAGGATTACTTTTTCTTCTCTGCCAAAGATTAACAATTTCAGATTAAATTTACTTAATTTTGTTTTATTAACAAGTTGGTTATCATCGCATTTGTTAATATTCCATTAGAATGTTTGACTTAAGATTACTAGTATTTAAATGTACATACAATACTCATCAACCCATGAATATTAGCCATTAATCTTAAAAAGTATTTACTTCGAAATGTATTGAGACTATGCAGTTTAATCTTTAAGAATGTCATTGTGAATATCAATTCAAGATGTGTGGTCTACCATTCTAATACATGCTTTTTTCTTTTTCTTTTATAGTGTGAAGCAGTATGCAGATGTTGAAGGATTCTAATGCAAGATTATTTTTTCTTTTTTATAGTGTGAAGCAGTATTCTGGAAAGTTTTTCTAAGACTATTGAAGAACTGAAGGAGTCCTGCATCTTTTTTTTTTAATTATTATTATTATTTTTTACTTTTTAATATCTGCTTCTGTTTAAAAAGCCATCATTCCTCTGCTTCATAGGTGTTCTGCATTTGAGGTGTAGTGCAATCTGCGGTTCACCAGATATGTTTTACTTTGCTTAAAAAGGTTTGGGAGAAAGTAAAGGGCACACAAGACTAACACTGAAATTTTGAAACAGCAGCAGAGAACACGTTTTAATTTTGCTCATTGTAGCGGTAAAATTTAGTGCCTTTTTTCCTTTTTTTCCTGTAACTATCGTGAACACCTTAGTTTATTTACACTTTTTTTGGGGGGGTTGTTTTTTTTAATTGGGTGAAGGCTGGTAGTCGACATGTCCCTGGCATCCTTTGAAAGCAACATGCAGAACGTGATGCTCTTTTGTAAGAAATGTTTTATGGTTTTTAAATAAATTTACTGAAACTACTCTTGGTGGTCACTCCTCCTTGTTATGTATATAAGGTAATACCTAAAACAGCAATATCCTCCCATCTCCTTCCCTAAGAATAGTTGCTCTTAAGCTTGCATTTCTGTTTATTTGATACAGCTGGAATTGCATGTATTTTTCTTTTTTTTCCAGATGAAAGAAACTCTGTGAAAATGGTCATCTTTTCTATTTGGGGGAAAATCGTAAAAATATTAATTCTGAGATAGTTTAAAATTTGACCTCTTTTGGTAAGCGTCTGTGTGCAGTACATAAATACTGTCATCCAGATATATATAATAAAATATTTCAAAATGAATTTGTGAAGACATGAAGTTGGGGATTAAACACATTCTAGACTTGTCTTTTCCAATGTAGATAACAGTTTTAGAAATGTAGTTGGTGTACCATTAATATACGAATTGCAGGTTTTTTTCAGAACTTTCATCTGTATGAAGTGTATAAACTCTCAAATTGGCATTATCTATCTTGTTTTTCATTGCATGCAAAGCTTAAAATTGGTTTCCCTGTTGTATGTTCAATTCCATAGAAAATAATTGTGAGAAATTTTTTTTAAAAAAAAACATACATATAAAGATTTCATGTAATACCTTGACATTTTTATTTTTAATTTACAAGTTATTAATTGAGTTCCAAAATACAAACAACTGTAAAAACACAAAAGAACTTTGTAAATCTGAATGTAAAGAATCCAGTCAAGAGTAGGTTTTTATTTCTTTTCCCCCTTTGGCAAGGGTATAGCTCTAAAACTTAAGGCATTTTGAACCAAATAAGGTAAAGGCTGTCATAACAAAGAATGACTTAAAATTTAAGGGGAAAGGAAATAAAAGATTACCTCCTTAACAGAACTACAAGCAATGATTTAAAAAAAAAAATATATATATATATAAGTCTAGGGAAATAAACACAACAGTTTACTCATTATACAATCTATAAGAGTACAAAGGTGTAAAATGAATTAGCGCACAGAATTCCAAGCTAAGAAAGATTATCACAAAAAAAAAACAATAAACAAGAAATGCTTACTGACATTGAAGGCTCGCAGTATTCTCCAGAAGAAAAGCTCTCAAGGAACAAATCCATCCACAGTTGCAGTCAGCATTTAAATAGGATGTAGGAGAGGTGAAGGCAGGCTCCACCCCTTCTGGTAGCACAGGTGAATTGCCTTCACCTGTGCTCTCAGGGCTGAGTCATTATCTGTATACCTGGTGTGAGATTAAAAATCACAGAATTGTAGGGGTTAGAAGGGGCCTCCAGAGATCATCAAATCCAACCCCCTGCCAAAGCAGGTTCCCTACAGCAGGTCGCACAGGTCGGCATCCAGGCAGGTCTTGAACATCTCCAGAGAAGGAGACTCCACCACCTCCCTGGGCAGCCTGTTCCAGTGCTCCGTCACCTCACTGTAAAGAAGTTCTTGCGCACATTTGTGCAGAACTTCCTATGCTGCAGTTTCCGGCCGTTTCCCCTCGTCCTGTCTCCACTCACCACTGAAAAGAGTCCGGCCTCGCCATTCTGCCCCCCACACCTTAGATATTTATAGACCTGGATCAGGTCTCCTCTCAGTCTTCTTTTCTCAAGGCTGGACAGACCCAGTTCACTCAGCCTTTCTTCTTAGGAGAGATGCTCCAGGCCCTTCACCATCTTTGTGGCCCTCCGCTGGACTCTTTCTAAAAGATCCCTGTATTTTTTGTAGTGGGGAGCCCAGAACTGGACACAATACTCCAGATGAGGCCTCACCAGGGCAGAGTAGAGGGGGAGGATCACCTCCCTCGACCTGCTGGCCACGCTCTTTTTAATGCACCCCAGGATGCCATTGGCCCTCTTGGCCACAAGGGCACACTGCTGGCTCATGGCCAACCTGCCAACCACCAGGACATCCAGGTCCCTCTCTGCAGAGCTCCTCTCCAGCAGGTCATCCCCCAACCTGTACCGGTGCATGCAATTAATACACATAAACTGCAAAGTTTCAGAATGCGAAGCGGTCTTCCTGGAGAAGGACTCACGTCTAAGTTTTCAAAAATATCACTCCATGCAACTCCAGGAGGTACACACAAAGAATGTTTCAGACTATATCTGAAAAGACAACACTCGAGGTGGGTATCCTGCCTTCGACTATGCTGTTAAATAAATGTCTCACTCCAATTTATAGGAGGGAGAGGAGGTTCTTTTATTATCTGTATACCCGGCGTGAGATTAAGAAACAATGGTTCAAATGTTGGTCTGACCAGTTTAGTACAAATCTTAATTAGGGAAATGGGGAAGGGGAGGACGGACACTATTATGAATTAGGGTAATGGGGAAGGGAAGGAGGGTGATAGAAAAGATTGGAAAGAAGAAGCAAGGAGTCTTTGTAGGCAGCAAGAGGGAGATAGTCACCACCATGGATCCAGCGTGGTTCATAGTTCATTCTCTGAACTTCAGTAGGGGTGGATCATTGGGCAGAGTTGTTCTGTTGACTGACAATGACGACCAGGGTGATGATGGCCCCTTTTCAATGGTTTCAAAGTGGTCGAGTGTCATGGTTCTATGTTTTCTGGTTCTTTGGGTGGATTTCAGTATTCAAAACATCAGGTAGCGTACGGGGCATTAAAGTGTTGATGCCCCAATTCCAGGTACTTAACCCTGCACATTACAGAAGTCACGGGATCTGGCCCTTCCGGGTGGGGGGGCGCTCTCTTACTGCCTTGCAGTGGGTGCTGGAGGGTGCTTTCCTAGCCATTCCAAGCTTTTCAGGTTTGACTCGGTCCTGGGAACTCTCTCTCTCATCTTGTCTGATTTATTCATCTCAATTTCAATTAAATTGTATTATATTATGTTATCTTGTATTCCGGTATTATAGTAAAATAAGTTTTCCTCCATAGATTGTTGCCGCTGTTCTTTTCCTCCCTTCCTTCCTTCCCATTTTTGTGGGACTGGGGTGGGGAGGGAGGGCAGAGGCCTCTTGCCCCCTGTCACGGACGTAGATTGATCTAGTCAACTCAGTGACAGATTTTGGTGCATTGGCCGGGAAATAGCTGTTTTTTTAGCTTTTAGAACGAATCTTTTTTTTCTCTCTGCTCTTAGAGAGCTTTGTTAGGGAGCATTATCAGTAGTTCAGGTTTCTGTGCTGGAAAACCTGACCTTGAAAGATTAGGCGTACTGCCAGTGTTCTGGGATATTTGTAAACTTTGAGCACTACTTAGTCTGGGTAGTGCCTTTTTTTTTCCTTTTTTTTTTTCCTCCTCTTGTTAGCTTCAATTCATTAACCCCTTTTTAGCAGGCACCAGCGATGAACCCACTCGTTATCGTGGGGGTGCTGTGTAAAGGATTAAAAGCAGCGGTGTTGCTCACAACCTACTGGCCAATAATCCAACTCACACTTACGTGTTGTGGAATTGAGTTCATATATAACTACCTAATGGCACTGATGGTGACACCTATATCTTACCTATATGCAGTGTGGTATGATTTGGATTTTGACATCTACATCCCAGAAGGAATGGCTAATTTCACAAACAACTACATCCCAAATGGAATAGCTAATTTTACAAACAAAACGATGTTCAGACCAGTCTCGGTGTTTTCCTCTCAGTTTGTCAAACGTTTTTTGAATCCTGAATTAATACACGTTAGTGTGCATGTCATTAAGTTCTCTGATTGTATTCATAATTATAAATAATAAGAGGAAGGAGTCTCCTCCAAAACCAGAGAATGATGACTGGCAGGGAATATGGAGAGGTTTACATAAATCTAAGGAGGTACAACTTATTTGGGGTTTGGCTTGTGCTTACCGTGCCCTATATAATACCATTCTGGAGAGAGAGAGTTTCCGAGCTGAGGTTCAAGCCAAAGGGGAAAATCTCCAAGTCAAATCTAATCAATTAAAGGAGACACCAGTAACAATACCGGTTGCTCCTGTGGAGGGCAAGAAATGGATACGAGTGTCTTCGCGTCTTGAATGAAAAAGAGAAGAAGAGGAGGAGGAGGTGGAGGAAGATCCAGGCGAGAGGCCCTCCTCAGAACCACCACCATCGCAAAAGGCAAAAGGAAAAACTAGGAGACATGCAGAAGAGAGTGACAAGGAGGAAGTCTCTATTACTACTCGCCAGTCTCTAAAGATGACTGAAATCCAAGGTTCAAGAAAGGAGTTTACATGGCGCCCGAATGAAACTCTTGTTTCCTGGTTGGTTCCCTGTTGGGACAGTGGGGCCCATAGCTTGTCTCTGGATGGTAATGAAGCTCGCCAACTAGGTGCCATTGCCAGAGATCCAGCTATTGATAGAGGAATTAGTCGATGTTCGGATGAGGCTACCAGCCTCTGGGAACGAGTGTTAACAGCCGTGAAGGAAAAGTATCCCTTCAAAAATGGCTTGAAGATTGCGATGAAAAAATGGGATACAGTTGAATAGGGTATCCAGTATTTGAGGGAAATAGGCGTGGTAGAAATGTTGTATGACCTTAATTTTGTTCCTAACCACCCACTCCAAGACTATGACCCTGAAAAAGTGAGGACGATGCCTGAGGTATGGAAGAAACTCGTGACAACAGCACCGGACAAATATGCCACTACACTAATGTCAGCGTGTGACAGATACAAGGAACAACAGAGAACGCCCTTAGTTTATGAATTAGTTGTTACGCTCCAAAACTATGAACAATTGCTACCCCCAACTCATGCTGCCATTGCCACTATCTCCCAAATGACGGACCAACTGAATGAAGTGCGAAAGCAAGTGTCTCAACTGATTTGTTGTGACAAACCTGTAGCACTATCAGAGACGCTTGATGAAGATCAGGATGTGAGAATCCTTCTTTGTTTTTTGGCTCAAAGCTTGCTTCCTAAGGTTTTTCTTGTGATAAGACTCTGAGTGACTTGTCAAGGAGGCAACTGATGGGTGCTAACTGTGTGACAATCGATATCGCTTTGGGAACATTTGCAAGCCCCTTCCCCCAGAGCTGCTTGCTCTGTAGAAGAGCGGAAGAGAGTGCTCAGCAGTGTTCA